GAAAGCGGCCATTCTCACGGGGGCTTTGCCAGGCCTCTGGGGGGACGTTTGCGGTCATGAAAGTTCCTTCCGCTTCCCGGCCTGGCGCCGCGCAGGACCCAATCCGGGCACCCTATGGGCACCTCTTATTGGGACACCATGAACAGATTGGGCTGACACTTTCAGACTTTGACAACAGGTTTTGCGACTTCGACTTCACACATCGGATGTGGGCAGCTTTCGGCGCTGCGGGGAGGCTGTCTGAGACATCTTCTGTCCTGGGCACCTCTCCACGGTTTTCTCTCTCTCTGCGACTGCGACTTTGTCTTTAAACGACAACATGACAACAACACAGACTTCAAATATGAGTAGAGCCGCCCCTCTACTCACTTAGTCCAGCCAGCCTCCTCTTTGCATGCCACAGCTTGGAGGTTGTGCTGGTGTCTGTGCCTGTTCCAAGAAGTAGTGACCCTTGGTTCGGGAGGACTGTTGCTGGGGAATGCCCTTCGGGACTGATGCCCCCGTCGCCTCATAACACTTGACGTCCATCACTCAAGACTTGACGCACCTTGTTTCATGGATTGGGCTAACATTATTTTTGTGGCGATCAGGTTGTCTTGCATTTCGCTGCGATCCCGATGTGGCACGTCTCATGCCCTACGGGAGGCGGAAGTAGACGTTAAAAATAACAACAACAAAAAAGCACTTCGCTGCGATCATTGCGACCGGCTTCCACTTTGCCAGACTTCAACGACACGACATCAGCGACATAACTTCAGTCGCCTGCGCCTGCGACCGCTGCACAGCCTTCAAGTCAGCAACAGAGTCCACAAAAGAGTCCACAACAGAGTCCATAACAAGTCAACATGTCATCTCTCGATAACTCTTTGTAACGTGTGAGTATTCCAACTCTCCCATTCAGCCTTCCACTTTCTTGCCAATGATGAGAACGAGCGGTCACACACGATCGTTTCGACTTTCGTCCCTATGTCATACACACATCTGAAACTAACAGGGTGTTGTAAACTGGTCTGGTGCTTCGGAAAAGGAGATTCGGCATCTGGACTCAGCATTCCTCGCTGATGCACACAACCACTCTGTCATAGATAGCGAGGGGTCGGCTTTTCACTCTCAACTCTGAGGCACTCTTCATTCCTGACATTGGTCTTTGACTTCATCTCACTTGAGCTTTGCTGACCTTTTTCATCATCCAGCTTGCAGGTGACTGACCTTTGCCAACAAGACCATCTTTTATGCGAACTCTTTGCGTAGTAAGTGTTCTTCTCCTGTTTTTGGCCCTTTCTCCGTCTGGCCAATGATGAGAACGAGTGGCCACATACGATTTTTCGTCCCTGTGGCATATCTGATATTAGCTGGGTGCTGTGTATAAGCCGGTATTTCCACGCTGATGGACGACATCACTCTCCCGTAGATAGTTTGGGGTCCGCTCTTTTCACTCTAACTCTGAGGCTTCTTTCCATGTCATTGACACCGGTCTTTGACTTTCATCATCTCACTCGAGCTTTGCTGACCGTTTCCATCATTAGGGCACACTTGCAGACAACTACAGCCGATAAAGACATTCTCCGCAACACAACAACGTCCTTTGCCAGGTCTTGTGTGTACGTATTCTTCTCCGATCTTCTTTTTTACAGCCAATAATGAGAACGAGTGGCCATCACACGATATGCTTCGGCTTTCGTCCCTGTGGCATGCACACGTCTGAAATAAACAGGGGTGCTTGCGGCCTTGTGCTTCGGAAAAGGGGATTCGGCACTTGCGCTTACCAGATGAAGGGCGACATTCCCTCGCTGATGCGCAAAATCACTTGTCGTAGATAGAGCGGG